GGGTGGTTGGGGTGGGTAGTACCCCCTGTCGGGCAGTGGCGGTGAGGTGCTGGTGGTGTCAGAGGCCGCAGTCCGGGGGCTGCAGTCCAGCTGGCTCGCGTGTATTTCCCCCGCCCCCTGCCCGACCACTTGGTCGTCTACCACTTCCCCCCCCCTCCTTTCTGGGCTCCCTGACCTGCAATCTCCTGTAGATGTATGTATGTAGGTAGGTACCTACGAACGAATGATAAAATATGAATGAATGAATGAGTGCTGGGTCCGTCTCACCCCCCCCCGTTTCACCCCCTTCACCTCCTCTCTCCACACACGCACGTACGTACATACATACGTACATACAGATGAGGCCACCTCTGCTCTGGACACCATCACGGAGAAGAAAATCCAGGTGCGCGTGTATGTATATCCGTGGGCTGTGGGCCAGGGGAGCCCTCATGGGTTTGCCGTACAAGTGCAGCCATGTTCCAGGTTTTCCTCCCTCCTTTCCCTTATTAACCAGTTTGGGCCCAGCCTCTTGAATGCCGCCGCCAGGCCGGCGGCCTAACAGCTCACGTCATCCCTTTCTCTTCTCACGACAGTTTTATTCCTCTTTCGTCGCCTTTACACCTACCTTCTCTAACTTACGGCTTGGCTTTACTGCGGCTTTCCTCCGCGATCATTTTAGTCTTGGCAGCTAGGTAGGTAGGTAGGTAGGTCGTCACCGCTGCATCATCACTACTCCTCTTCGGTCTTCGGTCTTCTTCACAACCGCCGGCTGGTCAGTTCTGCTTCCTGTACATCTGCCGCGGAGCACTCTTTCCTCCTGGCATCAGCTTCACTCTTTCACGTGGTTCGTCTTTCACCCCTCCCCCCCTCCCCCTCCCCCTCCCCCCTCCTCCCCCCTGGTCGCAGTCGGCGCTGACCGAGCTGCGCTCCTCCCGCACCACCGTCATCGTGGCCCACCGTCTATCCACAATCGCCGATGCGGACACGATTGTGGTGATGTCGCTGGGCCAGGTGGCGGAGGTGGGGGACCACCTGGGGCTGCTGGCGAAGGGGGGCCTGTACGCGGAGATGTGGGCCCGGCAGGCGGCGACAGCGGCGGCACAGGTGGGTGTGGGGGGTGGGGGGTCGGGAGGGGATGCGTTGTGCTCGCGTTGGCAGTCCGGGGTAGGGGGTTAGGGGGGGAGTAACGGGGGAGAGAGGAGCGCTCCTGCCAGCTCACCCACATGATATACACACCGGTACGGCTCTGGTGAGTGTGTTGCGGCTGCTGTCTAACTGGCTGCCTCCTTATACTCCTGGTCCCCCCCTTCCTCCTCCACTTCCTCCTCCTATTCCTCCTGCTGCTGCCTAACTGGCTGCTGCAACCCCCGGGTTACTCAGGGCGGTGAGGACAGCGAGCGAACAACCTCACGGCCGGGCAGCGCAATGGACCTCACCCGCCTCGGCAGTAACAACAGTAACGGGGCGGCAGTGGCGGCGGCCGGGGGGCCGGGGGGGGCATCAGCAGCACCCGCTCCAGCCCCCACCCCACCCACCGCCGGCACTGAGGCCGCCGCTGCCGCTCACATGACGTCCTGGGGCGGTACGGACGCCGCCGCCGCTGCCAGCGGCAGGGGAGCTGTGGCGGCCGGCGGTACGGACACTGCTGGTGTCGTACCGCCTGCTGCAGCGTCCACCCCTCAGCTCCCTCCCCACTCACCCGCACCTTCACCCTCTACTGCCCAGCTGATTGGCGGTCAGGACGCGGAGTGTGAGGGTGTGGGTGAGGCGCCGGCAGGAGGAGGGGGAGGAGGGCTGGGCAGTGTGGGCGGTCCGGAGGCTGCGGGGGCCGCAGCTGAGGCCACCGCGGCGATGACTTCAGCAGCAGGTGCCGGGGCGGCTGCGGTAGCGGGACGAGCCACTGAGGCGGCTGGTGATGGTGGCGGTGGGGGTGGGGGCGGGGCGGCGCGGTTGGTAGCGGATTCCGGAGCTCAGATTGGAACAACAGCAGCAGCAGGAGGAGGAGGAGGAGGAGGAGGAGGAGGACCCTCCGGCGGGCGGGGCGGGGGTGGTGGTAGTGGTGGTAGTGGGGGTGGTAGCGGTGGAAGGGGCGGTGGAGCTGCCTCAGGGTCGGGTCGCGGGGGTAAGTCTCGCAAGGGGCGCAAGTAGGCGGCGAGGAAGCCTCCTCCTCCCAAGTAGGGGCCGGAGACCAGCTGCAAGTGGACTGAAGGGTTTGGTGGCAGGTGGTGGGGCTTCACCGCTTGGTGGGCCCCCCCCCCCAGGTGCCCCGCCAGGTGCAATCCATAGCGCAACCGCGGGAGGCCGATGCCCCATCACTGGCGCCGCGCGTAGCGTAGCGTGTGGCAGGAGTTTGGGTTACATGCACATGACCCAGGGTATATCCATCGTCCTTGTGTGTGGGGGGGGATGAGTTTTGGTGTGGTGTGTGTGTGTAGCGGCTGTTGGGGGTGTTCGAGGGTGCAGGGCCGGAAGGCCCTCGAGGGAGGGAAGTGGCGGTGGCATGATGGCTCACGATAACGATGAAGGTCGCTCACTCGCGGTGTGTCGCGTGCGTGCACCCCTCTGATGTGCCCATCACTACTGCTACCCCGCTAAAGTTGCCTTCCTACCATGGCCCCTTTGAATTGTCGATAGCGTTATGGGGGCGGCGCATACAGCGATGCGTGCGGTCCAGGTCATAACGAGCTAGCTCTGGGCCAACGGTGTTAGTGGTACGACGGTTACCGGCACATAAGCCCCACAGCGCGGGGTGGGTAACACGCAGGGGGGCTACTTGTGTGTGTATGTGTGTATGTGTCTGTCTGTTTGTCTTTCTGTCAGCAGCGGACAGGGCACCTGGTGCGGTGAGGAGAGCCCCATAACGAGCATTTGGTCGTGTATGACTCCCAGAAGGCCCAATACATGAAATGGCAGGTTGTGCATGTGTGCATGTAATGCGGCTCATTCGCGCCGTCTGGAGGCCGTCGGGGTCGTTATGACGTCATCGTGCAAGGCACTGTACGGCAGACCAGACACGGTTTGGGCCAGAGGAAGAGGGGCCGACAAAACCTCATTCCGCTGATATTGTGGAAAGCCGTGCGTCCATACATATGTACATACTTACATATGTACATATGTACATACATGCATACATACATGTGGGCGCCCACGGCTTCACCCGTGCTGGCCGTGCTGACATGCAAGGCAGGCCATTGCTTCATGGGCAGGTGGCGGCGAATATGTACAGTGATGCAGTGCGCTGCGGTGTGGTGTGGTGTGGTGTGGTGTGGTGTGGTGTGGTGTGGTGTGGTGTGCATTGCATGCGGTGGGAATTCCTGCAGGATGTGTGAATGCTGGCTGCTGCGCATTTAACTTACATACGTCGCGGCTAGCCGCATGGTGCCGCCTCTTCCCACCGGCATCGCTGCTCAAGGCGCCCTCTTGTGGGTGGAAAATTGAAACTTAGATGTAATAAAAAACCCACATCGTAAATAGCTTTATTAATCAAATTAGAGTCCAGATGGCAGCGGGGAATTTGTATGAGGGTCGGCACGCTGCAGTCCGTTGTGTTGTGTGTATTCATCGGATTGGGGGAGGGGTAACGCCAGGGCCAGGTGGTCGCGCTGCAAGGGGGGGGGGAAATGCCCCAGCTGCCCCTCAGCCCGCACCCTCAGCAGTAGTGGCTAACCGCGCGCGTACTCCTTGCTGCACACCGGCACAACAGGCTGCCTAACAAACCGCGCACATTCACATTCCGCAAATCGTCACCACCCACCACCACCACTACCTACGTGGTTCGCTGCGTTTTCACATTTACGCGGTTTGGGGACGTGATCGTCCTCTCACGGCAGACCATATACCGTCTTTACGGGCAAGGAGCGCTGCTTGCAACCGACTGGTTGCCCAGTAAGCTGTTGCCAAGTCAAGGAGGCCCCACCCACTGAGTGGGTGAGTGCTGACCAGGGCCTGGAGTGATCACTCCATGTTGAATACCAAGCATTGGCATCAGAACATCAGCAAAATAAAACAATACAGACCCAGAACTAAAAATTTAAAAACGTGCGGAAACAACCCCTCAACGTGGGCAACTTCCAAGGAACGCGCCTGAGCGAAAACCTGGGAATCGACCCGCAAACCACCCCTCTCCCCCTTCTTCTGCAGTACTCTTTGCTGGCGCCCACGTGTTAGCGAACAAGAAAACTGAATTGCGCGGCCAAGTCCGGGCCTCATTCGACCCGTGTCGATTAGGTCTTTCGACATATTGCCGCCGTGTTTGTCGAGCGGTCGAATCGGGCCCCGTCGGTCGTATCGTATTATCGCTTTACCAGTACGTTTATAGTCCTTGAGCAGTTTGCGCGCTAGTGTGGTGGTGTAGTGCACTACAAGGCTATCATTTATAGGAGTCAGAATTTCGCTGAAATGCGTAAAAATGAGGGATTACAAACTTAGAGAGGGTTTTAGGTGAGGTGAGATTCTTGATCAATGATTTCACGCAAAGCGCAGCTGTGACTCAGCTGGCCTTTCTGCATACATTTGCGCAATAATATACGATGTGTACAGTAAGTAGACCAGCAAGGTTTGTGCGGTTCGGGCCGAAAGGGTTTGCGCCCGCCATTGGGATAGCGCTGTGTAGCCGTAGCAGCCGAACGAACGCCCCGAGTGTGTAAAGATATTCCGCTCTCGTGTTTCAGTAAAAGCTGCACCTCATATGAGACATGCACACATTTGTGCGCCATAAACGACAAACTTCCGCTTTGTAAGCCGCCACAGGAATGCTTTTGCTTGGCTTTCACAGGAATGACCATCTTTCGCGAGAGGCAACGCCGCTCACCGGAAGGAGGTGCGTGGGGGGCACACAATTGTGTCCTACGTGCCCCGCTGTAGATAAACGTTTGCTGTTAACACAGCTAGTTTTCTGATAGACGCGGCCAGCGTTGTGCGCCTCTACGATAGGCCCCAGGCAACCACACTGCTTGTAAGCGTTCCTTAATCGCATCTGCGCACATCGCCACAAACTAGCTACAAATAAATATCAAATTAAGAACTGTTCGTAAACTAGGCACCCCGATCTTGGGTTTGCAGCTACATGGCCCGGCACGTGCGTCCTCGTTGGGCCGGATGGGGCTCAGCGTGTAATGCGCGGGTATTGCATTGGATTGGCCCACAGCATCAGCAACTAGCACGTTTTTGACAAAAGGCGGGGATGGATCTCCGTTGAGTTGTGAATGTTTTCGGGGAGGGATAGAGCGCACGTGGCTTGTTCCTGGGCGATGTTTGTCATCGAGGTTTCTGGGGTACCCAATAAAAAGGTCATCGGGGATATTGGCTTTGCCTGATGACCTGTCGAACCTTTCGGTGACCACACGCAAGTAGTCCAAAACCACATGGAAATCCGAATTGCACGACAAGGCAGCACATCCATACGTAAGCCCTCAGAAGTTTCGATATGTACCCATTGATTATTTTGAAAATGATAGCAGTGGGTACTGTATCATAGTTTGCCAGCATGCCGCAGTGACAAGTTTCGGAAAGACCTGGTAGCCATCTTTATTATCGTAGGATGTTTAGTTTGTAATGTCTTGTATGTTACGTAATTAGTCGGAAGCCATGTTGGAAAATCCCATCGAGCGTGTGACGACGCGGTCGATGAGCCGGCAGAAGGTTGCGCAGCTGCCGGAGAGGAAGCCCAGCAGCAAGCGAAACATTTCAGAAATAGAAGATAAAGCACATGTTAAGTTGACAGATCTAAAAAGTCCTCGGCTTGCATCTTGCGCAAAGCCCTTAGCGGCGCCCACCGCGACTACTACGGCGCCCCAGGACAACGGAGGGCCCTGTGGACTGCATCAGTCAACAGATGCAACTGCTATGCGGCCAAATGGAGACGTCGTTGTCCAATCCACCGCCATCGCTATCTCTGCCGACACAGCAGGTCAAGCCGCCACCCGTAAGCGACAGCGTCGGTATCCACCACCCGTAAGCGAGCCGCCTCCATCACAGCTGCTACAACACCCGCTACCACAACCACCACAACCACCACCTCCGGAACCGCAGCAAGGCCCGCATCAGATCCAGGCCCCCAGAGCACCGCCGGCCTCCTTCCATGACGCATGTCAGCCGTCCTGCTGTGAGATGGCCACTATACCTACTGCCGTACACCCACCCTCACTGGCAACCGCACAGCAGTTGGCGCCCGCCACTGCAAACGGCTCCTGTGAATCAGGTTGGTTAGTTGGTTGATTGGTTAGTTGGTATGGCAAAGTGCTGCCCCAGCGCACGTATGTGCAAACAAAAACAAAATCGCGATTTGTTTTCATCAGCCGGTACATCCCCCATATACCGGATACCAACTCATTATCAATACTGGCACCACTTGTACAACCGGTACGCAGTTGCAGGCAGCGAAATCTGCCATGTATCCAATATGGTTTTCCTGTCCGGCCTGTCCGCCAGAAAGTACATGAAGGCCTTAGAACACAGGCGACAATCCGGCTGAAGCCTTTGGCCGGTTTTGCCTTTGCGTGCCGTCTGTCACTCTTTAGTCCCTCTGCCGGTGTGCAGTGCTTTGTTGTTTGTTTGTATGTATACCGTTGCTCCTGCTTCCGACCGTTTGGCCCTCATCCCCCGGCGCCCATTTCTTCTCCTTCGCTGTCCCACAATTCATGCGGCCATGGATGGATGGATGGATGGATGGATGGATGGCCATGCAACAATGCCTTCAGAAGCTGCCAAGCCACTCGTGGCTGCAGAGGCTCCGAAACCACCACCCGCGGGAGGGCCAGTTGCTATCGAAGTCCCATCGCCCCCGGAGGCACCAGTAGAGGTGCCAGTAGAGGTATCACCGGTACCGGCGGCTGCATCGGTGCCGTCGGTGCTGCTGACCGCGGTCGCCGGCGGCATGTCGTCCACGGCGCCCCGCTGCCCCACCACCGCTACCGCTGGGACCCCTGGGACCAATGCAATGAACTGCGGCGGCGCCGCCGCCGAGATACAGCCCGCCGGGTCCATGATCTGCTCATCCGCCAGTGCCTTACATCAGCACGTCATCAGCTGCGCGTCAGCCGCCGCCGCCGCCGCCGCTGCCGGCACTTCCGCATCCACCTCCGCCGCGAGCAGCTGCCCCGCTACTGCCGCTATTGCCACTGCCCTTACGGCTGTTGGTGCTACTGCCATTCCCGTTGCTGGTGCAGCCGGGGGTATGGCTGCTGGTACGGCGGCCGCTGTTGGCGCCGTCATGAGCAGCGGCATGGCGTTGTACCTGCAGCTAGTGGCGGAGGCCGCCGCCGCTGGTGGTGGTGTCGGGAGTCGAGGCGGGAGTCGGGGCGGTGGCGGGGAGCAGCAGCGGCCGGCGGAGGGCAGTCGGGTTTGGATCAAGGTGTGCATCGAGGTTCGGGAGGGCAGAGGGAGAGGGAGACGGAGACGGTATCGGACAGAGCAGGCGGGCTGAGAACCAGGGGGGGAAGGGTCGGAGGACAGACAGACAGACAGACAGACAGACTAACAGGCGTACAGCGGGGGCCATGCAGCGAGGGGCATGTCGAGCACACAGACATCGGTAGTGTGATGATGCAGCGGGACTGATTTTCAGTGTTCAGGCGGCCGCGGCGGCGGCGGGGGTATGTGAGCACGGCCTCATTCAGGCAATTGAATTCAATGTCAATATAATGCAATGTAAAGCAGGTGAGGTCCCTGCCGGCCTTACTCAGCCAAGGAGAACCCCAGGGGATATGGATGGGGTGGTTGGGTGGTTGGGTGGTTGGGTGGTTGGGTGGTTGGGACATGTATGACATAACATAGACACCCGGTTCAACCTCTCGGCCCGCTGGCCCCCCGTGCAACAAACCTATCAGATGGCTGGCTACTGCCACTGGCCCGCGGTGGTGTTTTCACTTCGCTACTGCCGCAAGTCTGAGGTTCCCGACCTGCTGGCGAGCTACCAACCCGGTCGTACTCTCGTACATTTTTACGGTACGGTACAGCAAATGACACCTGGTGGGAAATACGGTCTAACAGCTACCTGGAGCCGTTTGTTTGCAATCGTTTGATTATAAAGCAGCGCCGCATAGCGGCTATTCCATTATCTGGCACTTAGGGCACTTGGTTTGTTTGTTTGTTGTTTGCAGTTGAGTTTTAACATCGAACGGTCGCCCACCATTTCTCATGACATAGCTGAGCTGAGCTGGGAAAGCTGTACCCAAATATCATCGCAAGTGTATGAAATTCGTTTTTTGTCATGCATATTGTTGTTACGTGCATTACGACAATTATTGCGTACTTGCGGTTAAACGTTTCTGCTGCCACCGGCTTGAAGCTGTCGGTGTGGGCGCCGTAAGCCGCGCAACTGTACAACTGGCAAATAACAGACACATGACACGTGACTGACCATTAATAAGGATCAGCGCCCACACTGGTACTGCGGAGGCTATGCGCTCTGAGGATGTCGCTATCGCCGGATTGCAGCAACTCCAGGACACTCCGTATCGACCGCATTCGCGACCGCCCCGACAGCGATGAAGCAACTCCTCCTCTTGATGATGACCCTCCCTCGCAAATTGCACCTCATTATAAAGCGGCGTATAACGCAATCACGATACATTTTTACATTCTTAGTATGTTCTTAGTTCTTGGGGTTTTAGGTTTCTTCGGCTTTAGTTCTTAGCCTGGGTGCATGGGACCGTCCGGACTTCCCCCCTACATATATCTCGTTCACGTACTAGCGGGCACCTCCTACTAACACTCCTACTCCTACTAACATTTCGCTTCCCAGGCTCCCATGACCACGTGTGGGCCACTCAAGCATCGCTGTCGTCCTGGACCACGGAAAGGGAGGTCCGCCTAGCCGCACTCAAGGCGGCGGCGAGGAGGTGAGCGCGAGCTGGGCGACTGAGCGACTGAGCGCGGGCTGCTGAGCGCCATTGCTGAGCGCCATGAGTTGAATGGTGATGTGCACAAATCACTGCCCTCATCACGACATCCCGTCTGCCCGGTCGAGGTCCTAAGCAGCTGCACCAGCAGCACCAGCAGCACCAGCAGCACCAGCAGCACCAGCAGCACCAGCAGCACCAGCAGCACCAGCAGCACCAGCAGCACCAGCAGCACCAGCAGCAATAACGTGCTCTTTTTGACCCCCACTAGCTAGCTAGCTACCTATCACCTGGTCCGGCACTTGTACGCTGTTGCTTGTTGCTGTTGCCCACTGTCAGACGGTACGGTGCTTCCGGCCGAGCTAGGAGTAACAAGGGCTAACTAACCACGCACCATCGCTCTCAATACGTTACCTACCTACCTATCTAACCTACCTACCTACCTACCTACCTACGTACCTACCTACCTACCTATCTAACCTACCTACCTACCTAACCTACCTACCTACCTAACTGCTCTTGCCAACCGCTTCTGCCAGTCGAAGCTGCCTCACCTGCTATCTGCGCTATCGCCTACACATATTCCGCAACCCCAACTGTCATACACCTGACCCCCCCTCCCCTCGCGATCTCACTCACCCACTCGCCCATCCAATGCATCCATGCATCCAAATGCAACATAGCTCCAAAGTCGCCGCTGCCACCCTGGCTGAGCTGAGCGGCTCCCTGGGGGCTAATGCCGCCTCCGACCGCGGGAGGGAGCTCGAGAGGGTGGTGCAGATGCGGGAGGTGGCGCTCGGACAGCCGCTGGGCGGGAAGGGGGGTGGCGGCAACAGTGGTGGCGGCGGCGGTGGCGGTGGTGGCAGGAAAGGCGGGAAGGCGCAGTGCGGTGGATGCCGCGAAAGCGGGACGCAGGTGGGGAGCGGCCTTTACATTACAGTCCAGCTACATACATACATATACACAACACTTGCCGCTCATATGGGGCATTGGAAAACGCCGCAGCGTGCGGCCCCAGCGTCCTCATCCAGCCACTACCACGCACGCAGTTCGCCCACCACCGAAACACCGCAACTGCCACCGCGCCTGTCACCACCCACATCCTTTCCGCAATGCCGTGCCGCAGGTCACCTGCGCGTCTTGCCGTACCGGCTTCCACACGTTGTGCCTACCGCAGCCCGACCTCAGCCCGGCGCACATGCTGGCAACCGCAGCACTGCTTTCGGCGGCAACGACAGAACAGACAGCGCAGCCGCACCCTATCCAACAGCAGCAGCAGCGGCAGCATTTAGTTGTGGCCGTGTGGATCTGCGGAGTTTGTGGGAAGCAGAACGAGGTGAGCGCCGGTGCAGGCACGGCACGAGGGCATGTGTGATGCAGGCTGGGGCAGAGCAAGTCGGGGGATGTGCCTTCATCAAACAATTTTACAAGGGGGTTACAAGTTCCTGTCTAATGCGGGCCCCGGCCATAAAAGTCCCCGTGGAAGAGGGGACCCCCCGTGGACGGTCAGGTCACTAGCCATTACTGCGGCACCCCGTGTGAGGACGTCGACGGCCTCCTCTCCCGCTCGCCTGGGTTCGGAGCGCCCGAGCGCGATGCGCCTGTTGGTCTCCTGAGCATACCTCCGATAGAGAAAACTAGCCATACAGCTACAGGGGGGGGAGTCCGCCATTATAGTAGCCATTTCGCGCCGTTGGAAGCCCGCACTATGGCCCCCTCTTATTACTGCTGCCCGACCTGATGCCCATGTCTATGTACCACATAAAGCTGCCCGTCGTCCCTAACACTCCGCCACCGGCATCAACGCCACCCCGTACAACCCTTTAACTGCAACAGCTGAAGGGACCGGTGCCTGCAAGTGTTGCGCATCGTACCGCCGCCCCGCCTCGGGAAGGTGGGTGGGTGGGTGGGTGGGTGGGTGGGTGGGTGGGTGGGTGGGTGCGGCAGGTGGGTGGGTGGCCGCAGGCAGCGGCAAGCAGGACAGTCTGGGGGTGGCAGATGTAGGCGGTTTGAATTCGTATTGCGTCTCTACGTAATCCACAACATACGTGTGTGCGCGGAGTAGGATACATAAGGACCCGTATGAGCGTCTGCATGTGCGTCTGTATGTGCATCTGTATGTGCGTCTGTATGTGCGTCCGTATATGCGTCTGTATGTGCGTGTGTGTGTGGATGTGTGTGTGTGTGTGTGTGTGGGCTGGACTACTGACTGCAGTCTAAAGGCACTACGGCACTCGCCTGCCACTGCTGCTGCTGCTGCTGGTGTCGACAGCCGACTTCAAAGTCAAGTAACAGCATGCTGCAGGGAGTTGATGATATGCGCAACAATGTCGCCCACTTCTGCTGATATGATGCTGATATTGTTCTGCTGATATGTGCTGATATGTGCTAATATGTGCTGATATGATGCTGGTATGCTGATGGTGGTGTTGGTACTGGTGGATGGTGGTGCACACACAGGAGGCGGCGGTGGCGCTCCCCGAGGCGGTGGCCGCCCACCGGGAGGCGGGTGGAGGGCGGGGGACGCAGCGGGAGGGGCGTCGGGGGCGTGTGGTGCCGGCACTGGCACTGGCACTGGCACTGGCACTGGCAGCGGCGGTGCCGACCTCAGCCCGAACAGCCCACAGCTGCCGCAGCCGCAGCAGCAGCCCCAGGTCCCACAACACGCGGAATTACTGGCGCTGTACGAGCAGCTGGTGGCGGAGGATGAGGCACTAGAGGCCTCAGTGGCAGCAGCAGCAGCAGAAGCACCAGCAATACCAGCAAGGGATATCGTACAGGTAGATCCTCAAACAGAATTCGTAACTGCATTCTTCACTACAGAAAATGCCTCAGCGGGTGCCGGGAAGAAAATTGCCGTACCGGTTTCAGAGCCGAGATCTGGGCCGTCATTATTACCGTCAATCGGCCAACTGCAGCTCCAGCCACCCGCGGCAGCAGCGGCGATGGGCGCCACCACTTCCGCAGCCGCTACAGCAGTAGCAGTAGCAGCTAGCAGCAGCAGTAGTGGTGCTGTCCCCGGCGGCCAGGGGTCGAGGCCGCCGCCGGGAACCAGGCTCTGGGTAAAGGTGGGTTCGTGCACTAGATAACCAGCTAACTATGAAATGTCCGTTTGTGTCTTTGGGCATCATGGCTCTTAATATTCATTGTGCATGAATACAAGACAAATCCGTGTTAAGGCGCGACACATTTGTCGTTGCAATGCATAATCACTTCCTCTCTATTTATGAAAAAGAGCGGAATGATAATGACGATGGTGGTGATGGTGTTGATATGTTTTGAGGGCCCCCCCTGCCCTTGCAGACCCCGGGCTACTGCCACTGGCCCGCGGTGGTGTTTTCACTTCGCTATTGCCGCAAGTCTGAGGTCCCCGACCTGCTGGCGAGCTACCAACCCGGTTGTACCCTCGTACACTTTTATGGTACGGAGTTCCAAAGGATTTAAAAGAGGGTACGGATAAACACGCAGTTACAACAGTGCTTGACTTTACGAGCCGCCGCCGCCAACGCTGCCGCCGCCTAGCATACATCTAAATTTCTCCACACACCTCACTACTACCCCTCACCTGATCCACGTGCGGTACGTGGGCCCCGACGGATGCAGGGGAGCACAACCACATGTGGCTGCCCGCAGAGGAGGTGGCGCTGCTGGCGGCGGCGGCGGCGGACCCGCGCGAGGAGCAGGAGAGGCGGGAGGGGCTGGTGGCCTGGACCAGCAGGAGAAAGAAGGGG